AAGCTGAAAAGTGAAATATGTGACCAGATCAGCAAGTTGGATGAACAGAATCCTCTGCTCATGTTGTTCAAAGCACAGGATACATACAGCTTCATCAGATATTATCTGTTGAAGGATCCCCAGTGAGTGTGCAGATGTGATGCCTGGTTAACATCAGAGACAGTTAAGTAAAAGTATCATTTCCGAATACATACTAAGAGATGTGTTTTATTGTTTCTATACCAATTTCGACATGACCTTCTCTTTCGTACTCTTTTATTCTGATGTGTGACTCTCTTGTTTTATCCTACATTTGATGCTGTTAGACACAGGTTTATTTACGCTTCTGCTGATTTCTAACATGATAATTACAATTTTTTCTTCAACCAAAACTTTCAATCTTCTATTGCAATGTTTCTCTCATCTGCTCGCAAAAGGAATACAACTACACCTAATACATTCACTGTTTCACATCTCGCATATCCATCGTTCACAATCACATCAAATCCGATTTTGACATTGTTTTGCCATACCAATATACCATCGTTATTGGAGGTGCAAGTATAGAGTCTGTTAGATCCACATCCCATTCTATGATCGAGTAGTTGCGACTGAATGCAGCCTCTTCATCTAAAACGGCCAGCAGCTAATATTGAGCTTGGTATCGCACTATTTCTTTACAGTATGTTTATTTACCACCATATGACCCTTTTAGCAAAAAAAGCTATTGCCTGCCAATGTGAAACAGTCGCTAAGATTTAGCTTCATAAACTATCAACCACTTATAATGACTTATCTGTGCCGTCTGCTTCTTCAGAAATTTACGAAGATGGGCTGTCATGAAATCCACCCCTAACCCTAAGCATGAGACACAAAGCCGTAAAGTCTGCTAATCGCTAAACAATTAAATACCTACATCCATCCGGTCCCACAACCCTGCCTTCATCACGGATGAGCGAAAAAGCACCAACCTATCCCACATAATTAACCGTGCACAATCGCTCCATCTGTAGACAGCAGTACAAATAGCACCAAAACGCGCCATCCTGCCTATACCACACGCTAACAACAGGGAACCATCTTTCCGAAGAAGAGCCTGTACCACATAACGCAAACTACCCAGACCAAATCAACCAATAATCAGCTTTTTATTGAACTGAGCAATCATCAATCAACTCATCATACACTTCATCATACACTTCACCAGCCTTTTTAGAAAACTCCTTAAAGCCGTCCAGGTGTTCTTCAACTGCCTTCGCTTTCTCCCAATCACGCTCGGCTTCCGATATAGTGAGGATCCAGAGAGACCCAAAATGAATTTTATGTGTATTTAACTTATAAAGCCAGCGAATCCGTCTCTTGAACAGGTCTTTCGTTATAAATTCGGTCTCAAAAGTATGATTCTTTTCAACATACCCGGATCTCCACCACTTGGGAGCGAGACCTGTAAGCCCGAAATCAATAGCCTTGGCAGCATCCCGGAATTCTATTGCATCCTCATACGACACCCAGCGTAAGGAGTAACCGGCTGTAAGAAAGTAATCGCCAGAAAGATTTCCACCTACCCGCATCCTAAAGCCGGTTACGATTCCGCGGCTATTCTTCTGGATAAACCCTACAAAGTGACCTTTTACGTAAAACGACTCATCCCCATCAGCAAGTTCTTTTCTCTTATAAGGTAGGTCAAGGAACAAATCATGCGACCAAGTAAAATCATCAGGTTTGCAATCGATCTTTAAATAAACAGAAGGACAGGCAACAAAACAAACGAACATAAAGAGCATATTCATGTGTCTTACAGTATGCTCATATTTATATTTTTGAAAACGTTTTTATCCATAATGACGCTGTGTGTTTACGCTGTCTTCTTTGAAGATGACATGATAAGGAACTTTTCATCTGCTTGATGCAAGCAATCGCTGACATTTCGTATTGAGCTATAGAATAATTGCTAGACACCATAGTTTAACCATTGTACCAGGCACTATTTTTTTATTTTTGCATGATCCTATGACATGTACAAAGCGATATGAGTGTTTTGAGTTACAGTGTGTAAAATGCTAGCATAATGTCAAAACATAACTATCACAACAGGCCGATAAAACATTTTATAATGTTGTAGAATAGAAATTTGGTTGTTGGAGACCAGAGCCAACAAAGTTGTATGATCGAAATCAAATCATTACCTCCTTGTACCTTATCGAGCACAATATTATGTTGGGACATCAGCACCTTGACCATGTCTACATTTTACGGCACTGCTGTATCCATGCACCTGTCTTTGTGTTGCCTCCAAATTTTATTGAGTTACCGCATCGTAAGAGTGTCCAGGCTGCTCTTCCGCACCAGATGATAATCGTTTTGTATTTTGCACGCACATCAATCATTTCATGATAAAAATGTGCGCAACTCGTTCGTTATACCCGTGTAAATTTGGTTTAGGTGCAAAGGCACATACTGCTCGGATTATCACACCGATGCACCAGCAAGTTCATAAATATCACACCATGTCCCAGAATTGACCTGCCAAGAAATTCCTTCTATTTTCGGAACAAGAAACGGTGTGATCCCTCAGTACAGTTACATATTCTTAATCGATGCCCAGTGATCTATTTAGGAGCTTTACGTATTTTTACAGCATAGCCTTCACAACAAAAGAATGTCATAAATTGCACATGGGGTCGTTGTACCACAGATAGTGGATTTCAGTGAAATAAGTAACATGCACGGTAACTGTTTTACATCGTTTGAACGCACCGATAGGACCGTAGGACAATCAATTTTATCATCTGATACGGATCAACGATGCGAACACGTTCGTTAATAGAACCGAAATGGTGATGGCACGAATGGACAGTCGATGTAACCAAGCTGACCGAGCATTTTCTAAGCCATCAAAAGGTACTGATATACCTCCTTTGAGCATGATGTGTGCAAGCTGCTCGGCTCATACAGTACCCGTAACACGTCTTAGTCGCAGTTAGCCACTGCAACAACTCTGTTCCTCACGTCGTCGTTAAACGAGGTAATCATAACATTGCAGCACCTATGCCAAACATTCAATAAATACGCAGAAAATGCGTAACTTGGCTGGGGGTAGTAACACATTATCAGCGATTGAAATGGGTAAAACTGAGTAGGTTGATGTATACGTGATATATCGGGTGAATATGTCATAGACAACGCAGAGAATAGGAACAAATGATCAAGCGCCGTGACAGAGCGGGAGATAGTAAGATGGGAAGAAGAAGGTGTCAAAAATGAAGAATTGAACGCTCTTCTACAGATCACGAGTTAATCACCAGATTTGATTATTATACCAGCTACTTCTTACCATGCCATACCGTCCATACCAACACAGTTGAAGTGCTGTGATTTAAACGCACTAAAAATTGCATTTCTGCCAAAAATATGTACAAAGCTAAAAAATGATAATTAGAGTCAAATTACTCAATGAAGGTCTTTTTATTCGATGTTGAGAGAAGGGCGGTAATTTATCAAAAAGAGAATTATAAAAAGGAGCAGACCCTTTTAAGCATAACATGAATAATGTGCACTGGTCATCTAGCAACGCGTTTCTTACGCTAAACAATGGTGTTTGGTGCACCAGACAGGTAAAATAGTATTAAATTTGCTAAAAAACTGAATTGAACAAAATCACCGTAATCGTACCAAATGCTAGCAGCATGTAGCGTTTTACCGCAGATATATCAGTGCTCGTGAACAGCGGTGGTGCCACAGCATTATTTTATCAAAATACTGTGATCCATGAAAAGGCATGACCGATTGTAACGGATGCAAGTGTGAGTGAGGTGGTGAAGTGTTTTTATCATAAGCGTATTTCCAAGGACGTTCCTATCGATCAGTATTTCTTTGATATTTACTTTTTTTTATTATTTATTAATAAACTGCTGATGGTACACTCCCTATTAACAATCCACTAACCCTACACTCCTCCATTATCAATCCGCTAACCCTACACTCCTCCATTAACAATCCACTAATCAATCCCTTAATACCGTTTGTCATCAAAATGCGTTTGAAATCGTTGACAATTCGTATCACGCTCTGTTTCGCTGTTTATTTAAAAAACACGAAAAAAACAAAGCGGGATGGGTGAAATGAAATACAACGATATGAACTTGTACCAGGACTCGGAGGACGAGGAAAGACTGATGAAACTGCCAGAAGCACAGCGCGAAGAGATACTGTACAGGCGGTACATGAAGATCAAAAAACTGGAGGAGAAGAAAGAGATGGAGCACAGGATAGACGAGCTGGCGGAGCAGAGCACCAAGAAGGAGCACGAGAGCGCTGTGCACAGCGAGTGTTTGACATATGAAACACTGTGTGATGTGCTTGTGCCGCGTTCGCTGCTCGCCAAGAACGTGTACAAGCCGATGTTTGACAGGCTGGCGGGCAATTACGTACGGGTGTGCTTCAAGAGCGGGTATGTGATCAAAAGGGTGGAGGGCATAGAACGCGGTGATGAGTACTTCGTGGACGAGGGAACGAAGAATTACAGGACAAACAAGAGCATCTGCATACTGCACGGAAGCAATACACGGGAGAAGATCCCCATGTCGTTCGTGAGCAACAGCAAGCCGTCATTTGCAGAGTATGACCAGTTCAAGGACAGCAATCCGGACATTTCCGTATGTGCGCTCGTCAAGAGGGCGCACAGCTTCAGGAATCTGATGACACGCGAGCTGAGCGCTGCCGAGCGCAAAGATGCGCAGGAGGAGAGAACAAGGTTCTACAGGGACAAGCGCAAGAATCTGATGGAAAAGATTCGGCTGATCAGGGAGAGAGACGACGCGTATAAGAACGGAGATGTTGAGAAGGTCAAGGCGGTGCAGAGGCGCATTGATGAGATTGACGAGAAGGACAAAGACCCTGAGGAAGAGAAGGAAAGGGAAATTTGGGACAGAATAAATGCGAAGAACCGCAAAATCAATTACGAGAAGGGCGTGAGAGCCGGTCTTGAAAAGGCGAGGAACAAGGATGGTACGTACGGTACTGATCCCAAGAAATGATCGGTTTGTTAATTAATAAATGCAATTTTAGGCATTTACAAGCGTTTGCGTACGAGCGGTACGTTTTCTGGGAAGGATTGTACGCGAGCATCTTCGTGGACCGTGATCATGGAACATGTCCAGCAGATGCATCCGTAGGTATGGATGATCCTGTTTGTATGAGTTGACTGATCATATCAACAATTCGTGGTTTCCTCATCGATGAAGCACACAGATAAGCGCGAACAACCCGGCTGTAAATCCGTAGATCGTTAATGAACCGTACCGTTTGCCCATAGAAATGCGTTCATGCGCCGTAGTCAGCAATTTGACTGGCAAAAACGAAGGCCCTAATAACACGAAATGACCGGTCCTGCTGCCCAACCCACGTTTTAAATTGTAGAACGAAATCGGCAACCAAACGAATCTTTTCGTCTGTTCCAGCGGTGTACCCGTCTGCACTGAGCTGATACGCCCGTACATTACATGACCGATCCCATCAAATACTGTACGAGCAATGTTCCTGTTGTACAGCACATCACCCAACCGTGTTGTACGACACGTCGATCTCTGCTCAACGTGCTGCTCATCCCGCGTTTGTGTACGTACTCTTTTGTTAAATATAAAAAACCGTTTTGATACGTTCACAGGCATAAATTTTATTTTGCAAGAAGATCTGTTGCCCTGTTCTAAAAAGCAAATACTCACCGATGATTTACCATGCATAAACAGTAATAACGTATTTTATACACAACCGGTCGCGAAAGGGGTGTAACAATGCGTGGCATAGGTAGGAATGTTTTAGTTTACGGGGAAAGGCTGTTCTTGTACGTTGTTGTTGTTTATGAGTTGGTACCTTCAAGACCTGGACGAAATAACAATTTTGTACTTAGGTTTTTAGGGCAGGGCTAGCAAAGAAAGGAGGTATAAAAATACGGAGCAGCATAATTTAATAACAGCATAATTTAATAACAGTAATAACAATAATAACAATAATAACATTAATAACATATTTAATAATAATTTAATATTCTAAACTCCATTTTATAAACCATATTCTACAACACTATCTTATGCTCTACAACACTATCTTGTGCTCTACAACACTATCTTATGCTCTACAATATTACCTGGTACCTCACCCTTTCACTGCCCTACCCCCTATCATACCATAAATACAAAACAAGGTGTTATCCTACACGTACACCACCTACCCTCCCCACTCATCGTACTTACCTTTAAAGTACGCGTACACTCTTTCCACATCCATCCTATCATCTGCTCCACCAAGCACACTCCTCAGCACCCCCTCATCATCCCTGCAAAACGTGCTGCACTCGAACCTGCCCTCCCTCAATTCATGCCAATACGCGCCGTTCGATGGCAGATCAATGCCCTCCTTTATTTCCAGCCATATCAATGCCAGCGAAAATAGATCGGAGGAGTAGTGGTAACTGCCTGCGAGCGCTTCTTTTGAAAGGTAACGGGGCGTGCCTTCCTGCTGGAGGGAAGAATATGCAAATTTTGAGATGTTAAAATCTGCAAGCTTGAAGAGCAGTTTGAAGTGCGGAAATGCACCGTTGTTCGTTTTATCACTTCCTTCCTTCTTTTTATCATTTCTTGCACCGCAAGCCATGCTACTCCTTCCTTTTCTTTTTTTAATATTTGTTTTTCTAGCATTTCTTTCTTTATGCTCCGTTCCCTCCTCATCGCACCCATCCCCGCCATCACAACCGGTATCAACGCATTCCTCACCAAGCACGTACCCCCTCGTCTCACAGTACCAGTGCACATACCCCTCAATCTCCCTCACCACACCCTTCCCACCACCCCGCTCCACACTCATCAAAATATTACCGGGTGCAACATCACAGTGCATAACACCCGCTCTCTTAAGCTCGACCAACGCTGCACACATCTCCATCATAAAATACGCTACGAACCGCTCGCTCAGCGCACTCTTCCTCAGCTTGTACACGTACTCCACGAGGTTAAGGAACGATCCTAAGTTGCAGTGCTCCGTTTCAACGTACAGGTGCGAATTGATAGACCATGCACGGTGCAGCCTGACTGCGTGTGGAGAGGTGCGCAAAGCTTTCAGTATTTGTATTTCTGTGAGGTACTCGTTCTTCTGGGTGGCTGAGAGCAGCGCTTTTGTTGATATTTTGAGTGCTGAGAGGGAACGATCCATGAGATTGGTGCGGTTATTTGTTGCACTTGCGGCGGTACCACAATTCGCAGTGCACTTGCCCGTACCGTAGCACGCGCTCTCATTGTTACCGCTTCCGCCATCTCCCAAAACACGGGCAGCCCCAAACAAATCATTCAATCCATGAGCAGCACCGTGCCGTGCGCTCATCTGTGCGTTAATATCCGTGTTAAAATCAAATCGTTGCTCCACGTTCCTCCTTATCAGGTACACGTTGGAGAAGTCTCCCTGTCCGATCAGCGCGACGGGCACAAAGCATTCGATCTGTTTATGCATGGCAGTACAATTTTTTATACTTTCTTTGTTCTGATGGTCTGTGCTGCTGCATTCGCTATTCGCAGTTTTATCGTTCGTATCCGCAATTCTGTCACTGCCACTACAATCGTTGCTACCAACCCCGCACTCATCGTAGATGACCTCAAGTATTCTCATCGTACACCGCTTTCTCTTCGCAACGTTCCTCTGCGGTGTGGAGGGCGTCCGGTCAAGCACGACAAATTTTTTATCTTTTTTGTACTGCCTTGTCATTGCCTCGGTGTTGGTTGTGGGAAGATGAGGTTTTTTATTTTTTTTTGATTTTGGAGGGAAAGATGGGGGTGTGAAGAATATTTTGGCACAGCAGGGCGCTGTTCTACTATGAGGGGTATTTTTACCGATTCGTATTATTTACGTGAGGACCTACCGGCAAAGAAAATGGGAGCAGGGTGAAAATAGCGGCACCGTATGTTGCAACATGGAACGGAATAGCGGCCGAGCACGGCCCTGAATACGAAACGTAGAAATAAATTGGAAGTGCAAACAACAACGGTTGCATACAGGGAGCAACAATGAAACGAACAAGGAAATAAAATAGCAAGTATGTGGGGTGTATGAGCGGGCTAAACAATAGAGTTAAATGAAGAAAACCTACTATTACAGCATTACTTTCATATTTTCTATAAAATGTGTTTTAAATATTAATATTAGCTTTCCATAAATAATACATCGCACACACAGCATCATACTGCCGCATCTCAAAACAGATCATGTTTCACCGCATCCCCATAAACACTCGGTACCATTCCCACTTATGAACACCCTCATCATATCATACGTACTGCTCTACTACATCGCATCAATTACCCTGGGTTTTTCCACATCGTATTTGCTCTCCAAGTCGAGCTATCATTTCAGGTACCCGCTGTTCTTCAGCACGGTGCAGAATTTCGTGCATTTTGTGATGGCTAAGATCGTGTTGAGGATGAGGAAGGGATTGGTTGAGGGTGCTGCTGATGGGTGTTGCGGGTGCGGGGGATGTAAGTGTGGGAGTGAAGGGTGGGGTGGAGATACGGGGAGTGGAACTGTTGGGGATGGCAGTGAGAACGGTGAAGAAGGAAAAAAGAATGTGGCCGCTAAACAGGGCCTGTTGTTCGTATCAAACGGTGTGTTAAAGCAATGCGGTGAGATTGGGGACAAGGACTTGATCGTGTTTTACGAGGAACATGAGAGAATTGATGGATGGGGGAGGAGAAATAGGTTGAGAAGGGATGGTAGGGGGGGTAGTAATGGGAAGGGTGAGGATTTGAGTGTTGGCAGGGACAGCACCGGCAATACAACAGATAACGAAACAAATAACAAAACAAATAACGAACACAGAGCAGCACACAACCACATGCTCGTGCCGGGTACGTGCCGCAAGCATGCCACAGTCCTAAACTGCATAAATACGCTGCCATGCACCCTTACGGGTGCACTGGACATCTCACTAAGCACGTACTCCCTAACAAACGTATCATTCGCTCTGTACACAATGGTGAAGAGCAGCTCTCCAATATTCATCCTGCTCTCCTCTTTCGTTCTCAACAACGAGCCCGTCTCATTCCGCACATTCTTCATCATCTTCCTGATCGGCCTGGGCACCTTCCTCATCACATTCTCCCACGACACGCTCAACCTCCCGCAGGTACTGCCCATCCTGTTCGCATCCCTCATATCGGGCATACGCTGGTCGCTCATCCAGCGCTACCTCTCAGCACACACCAACATCTTCACATTCATCGCAACCATCAACCTAAACATCTCTGCCATCCTGCTCATCCTCGCCATATACATGGAGGGCCTGCCCATACTCAACATGCACTCATTCTCTCTGATTGTAACGCTCTCCGTTATTTCATTCTTTCTTGTTTGGAGTGAATATACGATACTGAAGTGCTTTAGCTGCGTGTTTCTGTGTGTGCTAGGCATTGTCAAGGAGATGAGCATTGTGGTGGTGAGCGTGTACATGGGGAAGGTGCGGCTGGAGGGCGTTAATTGGATTGGGTTGGTGCTGAGTATGAGCGGGTTGTTGATGTATGGGGTGAAGAAGTGATGAGGAGGAAAGATGAGGAGGAATGATGAGGAGGAAAGATGAGGAGGAAAGATGAGGAGGAAAGATGAGGAGGAGATGATGAGGAGAAATAAGTAATAGATTTAAGAGAAATATCAATTGTTAGGGTATAAAATAGAAAAATAAATGCGATTGGCTGCTCCACTTCCCTTCATGCACCAGAACAGCAACCTATGCTTTTTCATAAAAGGATCCACCCCTTAAAATCACCGTTTCATTGCCCTTCACTGTGCGCGTTGCGGCAGGGCAAAAATTAATTTTTAATTGCAGATCGTACCTTTTTACGTATTTGGTGGTCAACATTGAACGGACAGCATGAAGAAAATGTTTGCAAGCGTGAGAATAAAATAAAATTAGCATGTATGAGGTGTGAGGAATACGAACGGCACATTAAACGGTGCTGTTATTGCATTTCTTATCGCACCCCCTTATTTTGCCATCCCTTCGCACCCCCATGAAAAGCACCACAAATCCGCACATCGATCCCCAAGAAGTGGCGCGTTTAACCCGCAAAACAGCACAGGCCCTACGAAAATCATTCTTCAAGTCGCCAGACTACGCCACGGCATGCATCCACACATCGGCCCTAGCCCTGCTCACCACACCTTTGAACCACTACAAATGTGCGCTTCTCCAGATCATGCTCAAGGAGAACTCCGATGCGATGTTCAGCATGCTTAAGGCAGCCGAGTTTAGCGCGTATTTCTATGAGCGGGCGGGTATGCTCAGCTTTGTGAACGGATGCTATTCTGTGGGCGGGAACGCGTTTGTTAAGGGATATGAGATGGTTGGGGATGATAGGGTGTTTGGAAGTGTTAGGGGATGGGCTGGGGAGAGGGAGAGTATTGTTGTGGAGATGATGAGGACGGGGAAGGACTGCGATGTTGTTGAGGATTACGAGAGGTACTGCTGTGCGAGGGCAGAACAGAACAGCACAGGTAGCGGTAACAGCGCAGGTAACACAAATATTGTCAATCCACCGGTGCACCTCTCCACGCTCTCATACATCCCCGTTACCGATACATCGCTGCCATCCACAAAGCTAAATTACCTGCACAACGCCCACGTTCTCTACAAAAAGGCCCAAATGCCAAAAACAGCAGATCTGATAAAATTAAAAATACTGAAGGAATGCATCATCCAGAGGAAGTACGATCATGCCGTATACTACGCACACGCCAATACGGATGTGATGAGAATGTTGCTGTTTCTGAACGGTGGTGAGGATGAAGAACTGAGAGTTATGGATGAGAGTGAGGTTAGGATGATGGGGATTGATGAGTGTGGAGGGATGTTGGTTGAGGAGGTGTTGGGGAGAAGGAACAGCGAGTATGAGCTGTTGTAGGGTGCACGTTAAGATTTGTTGGATTCTTAGGTTTGGTGTTTTGATGAGTGAATGAATGAGTGATGGAGTGATGAAGCATGGCAATGAAGTAGTAAATAAATTGGTGCGTGGCATTCACACAGAGATAAATAAAAAGCACCGAACATTCGCATTCCTTTTGGTGATCTCTTCGTATACGTTGGATGAACGGTTGTTCTACGCAAACGATTGCTCGTATCTTTGACACGAAGAATTTTTTAATATGCACTGCAATTTAATTTATGCACACCTGATCAAAGCGCATTACAAATACGGAATTGTGTGTAAATTACAAGGACTCATAGCTTAATGGTTAGAGCGTCGGCCTACGGAGCCGGAGGTTTCGAGTTCAAGTCTCGATGGGTCCCTTGTTTTTGCAGGTTGTGAAAGAACTTGCGTATCGAATCGAGCAGAGCAAACGGTGCGGTTCGTGGTGTTTGGCGGGCCGGTTCATTTGCTCACCGGTAATTGTTCAGACTATGCACAGTGCGTTCTACTACCTGTTTATGCACAATTAAGTATTTAATAAATTTTGTACGCATAAACACGCTGTCCTTCACCGTGCTATACCAGCAATGCCGCGCCTCCTCATGTACCCAACAACGCACATCCCCACAACCAACAAACACTCGCACCACCCAACCGCCCACATCGCATACCCCCTGCCACCAAAGTACCCACCAACAATCCACCGCCTCACCACCAGCACAGGCACCATATCAGCACACAGCATCACGTGCTCCACCTCGTTGTACCCCAGGAATGAGACGAGCACGTGCATGGTGTAGCGGGATGTGAGCAGGAGGTACACGAATGTGCATAGGTAGAGCAGAATGAGCGGATGGTAGTACGGATCGAATATGTTTAGGAGAGCGAAGCTGTGTACGTTAGGGGATGGGTGCAGCCATGGGATGTGGGGAGCGGAGCTGCTGTACGACCATTTTGCAAGATTAGCCAATTGCACTGCATTTTTACGGTTATTATTGGCAGCGGCATCGGCAGCAATACCAGCACAACCATCAGCGCAACCATCAACACCACACCCCACCCATTCACTCCATCCACTGTCCGCAACACTCCACACATACCAACCAATCAATGCCACACTTTCCTTAAAAATCCATCCATACCTTGCACACACCATAAACACCACCATTTTAATATTACAGTACCTGTTCTGGAACACAACATCGTACACCGGGTTGGAATGTGCGATGAAGGGGTGCAACGACAGATTGAAAAGATGAACGAGCGGCAGTACGTACATAATACGCGTGCTAGCACACGAATTACTAATCGTACCGGTACGTGCACTGCCACGCACTGCACACCATGCCTTGGTCACTGTACGGTACACCAGCTCTTCCACACGCTCATCTTTTGTGGTGAGCCATGCCAGCACTCCGTTTGAAGGGATGGTGCGCTTTTGCAGAATGTGGTGCGCTATGAACGGCACGGTGGTGAACAAAATGAATTTGAGTTTGCTGAACATGTGGGATAGGCAGGGTGGATGAAATATTTTATTAATTTTAATGACGTGGTGGTTGTGATTGCATTGCAGTGCTACATTTCAACAGGTGCACTGTGTTAACACGGCAAAAATACGAATTGGTACGAATTAGGATTGTACGGTGGGAGGAGCAGTCTACTACGACTGGACCTATGCACAACGACAGTGCACACCACTCTCTGCCAGCAATACCATGGCTTTGCAGTACGAAACGACAGCACAACGAATCAATACCACCAGCCAATGCACCACACCAATCACACCGCTCTACTTAATTTTTTTAATTATACTCATTCCTCCCTGTTCTCCTTCTTAAGCTCATCTGCCATCCTCCTAAAAACCATCTTCTCCTCCTCATTCATGCTCTTCCACCTTCTACTCAGCTCAACAGTATGCTCCCCAAAACTACCCTCCATCTTTTTATATTCAGCCGCCACAAACAAATTGTAAGCACTCTTGGGCCTTTTCTTCTTGTGCTCCTTACCAATCGCTTCGCAATCCTGCTTATAAAGATCGCTCGCCTTGTACCGCACATACTCCTCACGGTACGCTACCAACCGTTTCTGGTAATCGTTCTCGTATTGCTTGCGCTCTTCGTCTGATAACGCGCGCCATTTGGTCGCGAAGTGCTGGCGCTGGTCGGGCGGTAACATCGATTTGAGAGACTCATCTGTTTTGCGTAGATGGGAACAGAACGATAAAAAAGAGGAGGCTGGCTTTTTTGGGGCGTGGGCTAATCTTTGACGCGATTTCTTTGGCATTTTGGATGGGTTAAAAAATGAAAGGAATTTAAAGGGAATAATGGGGGGGAAAGGAATGTGTTGATTGGTTGGAGTGTGATTTTGGATACGTTAGTTGGATGAAGGGATATTGAGATGTGCAATAAATAACTGATGAGATGCGCAGTAAATAACTGATGAGATGTGCAGTAAATAACTGATGAGATGTGCAGTACAGAAATGTGAACCATACAAAAGTAACCGTAAAACACAAAGCCATAATCTCAGTGCTACTCCCCACAAATAAACCTTCCAATACCAAACACACATCATTCACTAACAAATCACCAAATCTGTAACAATCTTACCATTTGTTACAGATTTACCTTCAAATAACGGACAGGTAGCAAGAAAGACATGCTAGAGCATTCAACAGATGTAGTAAGTTATTTGAAGAAGCGTAGGGTGTGTGAACGGTGCATAGAAAATATAAATAGTGCAAAAAGTACGGATTATGTGCTGTTAGTGGATTTAAAGATTGTGCGGTTGAAAATATACGGTGGTAGAAACTGTGTAGAATGGGAGATACCGTGGTGAGATGGCATTAAAGTGAAGAGTTGTACTGCAATACGTGCATTTGCACCAAATGCTGTGATGCGCTCATCATCAAAAGTGTTGAAACGGTTGTAGAACAGCACCGCGCTTCATTCCCAGTACTTGTCTTACTTTGTTGAACGAGGGTGCATTCATTGCGGTACCACGACATAATTCCGTAGTAATAACCGTGATGTGTGATATAGCACGGCATTGATGATGCGATTAGTTAACGTAACGGTAGGTGTGTTTTATTGGTGTGCATGTTAAGCGGTGTGTAAAGAGTTGTTCTTACGTGTGGTAGCTGTGATAAAGAATGCAGTGGTTATCCCAGCGGTACTTAACATGGGGTATGATCACAACGGGACTTGCTCCTATTCACAGGTGTTCAAATACCGTAAATCACCGTACAACTCCTCACAAGGTACCATGTGTTTGATACTCCTCCCAATTGCGAACACGGATCTACCCGTGATAACGATCCTCCCAGACAACACCAACCATTCCACACCACTTCCAAGTACTATGCGTTCAACCCCTTCCTAAAATACAAAAAAATATTTTACAAATCCTTGCCTACCCCTCCATGCTAACAATAAAGATAGGCGCACAAGTGCAGCACAGCCAGCATCCCACAAAGATATTCACAATTGCAGGCATAAAATCACCAACACAGGTACTGCTGAACTGCGAGGATGAGTATATGCTTAGCAGCGTGAGGCCGCTACGTGCTATCACGGAGATGGGAAAGGATGTAAGAACTATGAGTGATTATGAACGGTTCGTGTGGGAGCGAAGAGAAGATGTGGAGAGACAGGTGTTGGAGGAGATGATGAGTGCGAAATAAAGCGATTATTTAGGATGTGCGCTACAGCTGTGTTCATCGGCATGCGTAGAATGGTAAGGATAGCACGTTTAGTTACTTTTCAGCACCTGTTACATCACTGGTTCCATTCACGCATTCTCTTGGTGTACCATATCAAACCATGTACGGAATTGCTGTGTGAACCATGAACATGACATTGCTGGGAGAATGGCACTCTGTCGTATCGGTACGTTTCATCGTTATGTGCTCATTCCGCTTTTTTGTGCACAATCCACTGCCCTTGCTAGTTCTTCTCAAAGTGGTAAAACGTACGCATCGCGTTACTTCTCCCCAATTATGTTTATCATTTTTAGTGCTATCCTCAGCACAAAGCATTCTTGGTGTATTAGCTGGGTGCTACTTGTATTTTGCTATTTTACCATTTATTCAACTGCCTTACTATTTACGTACCGTGATAGCTAATTGTTCCTCATTTGTTTGTCACTTCATGTTCAGCATGGCAAATCTATTTTTTACTTGTACAATACACCGTACCTGCTTTGATTACTTTTTGAAGAATTGCGCTTTGATCATTAACAATGTAGCGTGCGGTTCTATCACACTATACCGTACGTACTGCTTTCCCTGCCCTATGCAATGTTTTTTACTTCACATCCCATCTCTTCCAACTATCCTATTCATTTAGGGTTCATCAGTACCTTGCAATTAACACCATTCTATTCGCTCATCAACGCAGCTACATTTCAACTTAAAACCACCCTATCAGATTACCAAATGCAAACACTACACCGTACCTACCGGTAACGGTCACGTAACAGGTACCGTGCTATAAACAGCATACTTACCACCGTATTGCTACCATTGGTACCGCAAATGCACACGCTCTTCGTACCTTTACCGCATTGCCTCCCCTCTATTACCACTGTATTGCCAATTTTGCTCCTTGTCTTCAACTGATCAGCACTGAAACGACAAATGTTTTGCATTCAAAACAACAACACTATAAATAAAACTGTGATTGTAATAACATTAATGAATAATAAAAATGACAATATACCACAGCGAGGTAGGCCTAAAAAGAAAATATCGTTCTTTGGTGCCAATAATAATAATTTGTATGCTGAGTGTAACAGTGCGGAGATGTTTGGCTATAACTACGGAATGAACGAGGATGAGGTAAAGAGCTATGGAAAGGACGGCGGGGATGGTGGTGCAAAGGATTACGGCAATGATGGTTATTACGGGAACTTTTACAACTACCAGCCTTACAGCTATGACATGAATGGTTGTTACGAGAGCCCGCACAAGGAGATGGAAAATGGCAGCAATATGGAGAGTGGAGGGATGATCAGCAGTGTTGAGAGTATGGGTGGGGGCAGTTCTGCTAATCATGGTGCCTCGGAGAGTGGTGGCATGGGCATGAGCAGTAATATGAGCCATATAAGCAATGTTAACGGCATGAAACGGAAGATGAACGAGGGAATGGGCATGGGCACCATGAACAACAGCAGAGGCATTCACATGATCGACCACGAGAGCAATGCCAATACGGCCGCGATGAGCAGCGTGTCGCCGGGCAACAGTGGCATGGTAATGGGCAGCAATGACATGAACATGCGACCTGATACTAAGATTAGATTGGGCAATAACATACGCATTGATAGCTCACACAGACAGGACAGTACAAACTACGGGGCACTTAGAAGACATGACGACAGCCTGCCATCCATGAATAGCGTGAACGGCATGTCCTCCACCGCCGGTTACACCAACGCTCCCATGAACACAGGCAACGGTATGGGAATGCCTAAGATGGGTGGAAACAACGGTATTGGTATGGGCGGTGGCTACAACCCGATGGAGTACTCCGGTAATTACAGTAATGTAGGCTACAATCCCGGTCTAGGCGTAGTTCCTGGAAATGATAGTTTCGGTTACAATCTCAATCACGGTGCTATGAACGGTAGCATGGTGGGCGGTAACCCGAACCATGCCGGCATGCCCCCGAGTCATTCCGGTGCAGGTATGGGCCATTCTGGCGTAAATCCGAACCTTTCCGGTGCAAATTCGAACGGCAGTAATTTTCCAAACTACACTCCAAACATGAACAATACCGGGTACAACAACGCATACTACAACTATCCTTACCAGAACTGCCCAGCAACACCATCGAACGGCGCGGCATGTACCCCTTACAGCAAGGCTCCTAGCACGCCGGGCACGGGCACAAACAACATCTTCATGAACGACATGTTCATGAACCAGGAGAACGCGTACATCAATCCATGGATGAACAAGAAGAAAAGAAAGAACAATCCGCTGCTCTGGCAATACATCAAGCAGCATCAGGACTTCTATCCGGGCATCATGCATCCAAGCAAGTACTCATCGCTCGATTTCATCCAAGGTATGAACAAGACACAGAAAATGTACCTAGGAAGCATCAAGCGCATGCCAATCATAGAAAAGAACAACAGCAATTCCATCCTGCCGTTGTACCTCAACTCGGCGAGCATTCTTGAGAACTCGATGCACCACACCGAGTTTATGCGGGTGAGCAAGTCGTTTTTTGCGCGTATAAAAAATTTGGACTACGAGAACGTTACGGTGCAGCAGCTCAAAAACATCATGAAGGAGTTCGGACTGAACCACACAGGCAAGAAGATCGATCTCATAGAGCGCGTGAAGAGTACCAAAGACCTGATCAGCGAGAAGCTGAAGGAAGAGAAGGTGGAGAGGAAAGGCGATGAGAAGGAGAGCACGATGGACAGTCTTTTCTTTTAATATATAATTATTATTTAATAGAGTTCTAGAACGTAATAAGGAAATGTAATTTAATGCATGCGATAATTTATGCTATATGCATTGAAATGATGGATAATTAAATATCTTGCAGATTGGAAATTGTGTTGCTGGTTCTGTTGCATACCTGTGATGTTTTGGTTGTTGAAATACGAAATGGTATTGAATTGGTTTAGAATTTTTATATTCGTTGGCAGGACATTCTTTGTCTGCATGCTCTTTGGGCCCTTTGATGCCACGCCAAAGATCATGTAATTGAAAATGCGCATGTCAAAAAAAAAGGCTTTGTTCTGTGGGGTAGAGAGTATCAGATCATTTGTGGTTTCTGATCTTCACTACATCCCTAAACAACCTTTCGTACAGTGCCTTTGTCAGAGAACAAAACTGGGGCTCATCTTCATCAAGAGCCAAAGAAATATACAATGGGCCATCCATTGTGAGAAAATACGTAAGTCCTACCATTTCTTCAATGGCATGGTGGTATGTCTCAAATGTTTTTTAACGGCAGAGATAGCCCCTTTGCAGTTTTTGCACATTCCATTTTGATCGCATGGTATGCAGAGGATCAGTACGCATATTTTGCTGATTTTAGCCTGCAGTTCACATCCCTTTAACCTTAGCAATGTAATTTTCACGTAAGATGGTACAAATTTAGTTTAATAACGTATCGCTATAATTCCATACCAAGTTCAAATGCCCGACCGGCTCGGCACCATCGATCACTTATACCTCCAAAATTTGGAACATAACTGATGAAATGGCCCATACTCTACGCAATTTCTATTTTTGTCAGAGGCAACAAACCGTTCACAAACAGCCGTGCTCCTTCTCGACATCCAAAGTGCAACCTTAGCGGTAAGTAAATTCGATTAATCCGTTCTCATGATCGTAATTTCGTATTAATGTTAGTAAACGAGCTTTCATAAAAATGCAATTTCCTTACCTGTCATGAATAGAGCTAAAATTTCGGGTCATCCCGAACAAAGCAAAGAAATGAAAATAAGTCGTAGAATTTATTGAGTATGCTCGTACACCGACATGCCATTTGTTACCGGCTGTGTACCGCATCATCAACTGTCCATCTCCTTCACGCACTCACCGAAATACCTCACCATTCCATTCAAACCGAATATTCTGGCCTTGCCACCACAACAGGCACTAACGGTCCTTCCACCTCTGTGACACAGGGTACACACGCAATGCCCACATTCGTACAGATACAGGTAGTTCGGCAATTTGCAAATGTTGCAGCTCAAAAGTGCCTTTAGATCGCTGAATGTCTGCTCGCGATGAAGAATTGAGGATGATACAATTGTGTAATCAAGGGACTCCGTCATTTTTTTTGGTGAATTCTTCATTTCTTGGGCTTTGATTTGGTGGTTGTGAAAATAAGCGGGTCATAAATGAATTTGCAAGACCAAACATGGAATTAAACTATTCGAGTACGGAGTTTCGTTTAAAAACATGTTTGAGCATTTGAATGAAAATATACGTGGTACTTACAGGTTAATGAGATGTACTTTACAGCTGATATTGATAATAATAGTGAAATACTGTAGATGTAGCGAGACAAAGGTGAGCACGGCTTTAGATGCTAGGCGGAACAGATGACGACAATCAATGAAGTCTATTCTATGGCTATAACCACGAGGAGATATCGCAATCGACGATAATTCTGGATGAAGAATTCTCTGATCAATAAAATGAACCATACTTTGAACAAATCAAATAGTTTTTATTCTTTTAAAACATGTTATTGTACCGTTTTTCGTTTTCACATAGACAGCTACGATTATCGAATTCGACTTGTGCTAATTTTATCATTAACATACCACTTGAGTGGCATATATATCAATGATACCCTCTCACAAGGAACAATATTCGATCTGCAAATCTTGCTTAAATTTACTTTCTAGACCTTTTGTCCCGGCATATTTCGGGAGCATTTTGATATTTGAATCGACTGAAAAGTAATTTAGTCAAGCAATATTTGTTCTGTTTGCAATTTTACTTGACATAGCTTCGTACATGCCCACTCCGTCAGATCTGATTCGGAGATCTGTCCTACCATCCTTTGCCACCCTTATTTAAACAACCATGTGTTAGGTCGTAGGATAATCTACAGAACTCTCCTAGGCCGAACACTGATATCAATAATTACTGTAGATTCTTCCGCAGGATTCACTATCAATAAATTTATGGTTTTACATCTCTGGTTTAATGCCGCCGCTTAACACCAATCACGACGAGCTGGTGTTTCTCGTTGTTTCGGTGTCTATTTCAATCCCGCACAACGCAAGAAAGCCATACGACTTCCATCAAATTTGCCTCACCCACTCATCAGCCATTATACACACTACGCCCGTATGAGCAAATGAATAAAGCTCGAAAGTATTGCATTGCTGTTTGTTTTTACGCATTGTAACTCATAATAATCTCTTAACTAAGCTTATCGGCCAAATTTTGCCCTTGCACGAAAAGATATATTCACTCACATCAGAGATGTAGTGTCAGTTTGTTCGCTCGATCAATTTAACGCCGATTACGGATTAAGTGAGAACATTTGTTCTTGCAAGATCCTTTTATTAAAGTTTTATACTCGTGTTTCTTTTCACATCACATACACAGATTAAAATACATTAAATATTTGTAGAACTGTGATCAATAAGTTTTGTGTCCATAATATGTAATCGTACGCGT